CAGAACGGACGGTCCACGACAACACGCAGACCGTCCGTTCTATGAGGATAGAACGGACGGTCCGCACTAAACGTAGACCGTCCGTTCTGCCTTACTGGAACGGACGGTCCACGTGCAATTCTGGACCGTCCGTTCCAGGTTCCGGTTTTCCGAAAATTAAACCGAAATTAGGGTTAAATCACTTTATAAGAAAGATATTAGAACCCTAATTGATAAGAGACTTGGAGCAGCCGACTTTTGGTGTTCTTGGAGAGTTTTTGGTGAGATCCAAAAGGGCTCAACAAGTTCTAAGTCTCGTTTTTCTCGAAGTGCGAAAAACCGAATAGAGATTCGAGTCCTAGCAGACAAGTTCCAATCGTTGGAATCCATCCCGAGGTGTGGATACGTGTAGAGGGCGAGGTAATCTTCCTCCCTAAGTGATTGGACGAATTCTTCAGTTGATACAGGCCCCGGATCGATTGAGGTAAGCGTTCTAACGTTTCTACGTTTTCAATAGCAGCATGGTTCTAGTGTTTTATAAAATTTTTGTTTTACTTCCGCTGCACAACCCTAGAATCGATCTCTTAGGAATCAGATTCGCTCATGAGATCCCAGGAAACCCAACAGGATATTGTATGGTGGGGACATTTGGCATCGTCGATGTAGCAATGGGCAATTGTCTAAGTGTTCTAGAAAAATCATTTGTGTCAGACTCTAGATTAAGAAAATCATATGAATGCATGTTTGACTTTTATAAGTGGGAAAAAGGGAAAATATTTTCATCAAAGTGAACGTGTCGAGAGAGTATGATTTTTCGTGAGATAAGGTCAAGACACCTATATCCTCGGTGAAGTGCTGGAAAACCGAGAAATATGCATGGTGTAGAACGAGGAGAAAGTTTGTGAGGAGTTGTCGATATGAGGTTTGGGTAACAAAGACAACCGAATACTCGGAGATGGGAAAACGAGGTTGGTTTGTCAAATAGCTTGGTGTATGGTATTTCGTTGTTTATGGTGGTAGAAGGTAGAATATTAAGAAGATGAGCACTAAGATGAAGTGCTTCGACCCAAAATTTTGGTGGGAGTTTGGCTTGGAGAAGTAGAGTACGGATGAGATTGTTTATGGTTCGAATGATACGTTCGGATTTGCCGTTTTGTTGAGAAGTATGGGGACAAGAAAACCGAGCCAAAATGCCATGTTCATCAAAATATGATTTGAAATGTTGATTATCAAATTCACCACCATGATCACATTGAAATGCTTTAATAGTAGTATGAAATTGATTTTAACATAAGAGGTGAAGTGAAGAAACTTGGAGAACACGTCGTTCTTTCGGGAAGTGGATAAACCCACAAAAACTGTGTAAAATGATCAAGAAAGACAACATAATATCGCAAACCACTTATGCTAGGAACGGGCGAAGTCCAAATATCAGAATGAATTATATCAAAGGGTGCTGAAACAATGTTTTGAGAACGATGAAAAGGAAGCCTAACACTTTTGCCAAGATGACATGCTTCACAAGTGGAAGGCATGCATGGCTTATTACATGGAATAAAACCAGAAGAAATCAAATTATTGAAAACCGAGTTGTCCGGGTGCCCTAACCGACGATGCCAAATTGCGGGAGACGTGGAGAGAAATGCGATGTGGTCTTGTGGTGTGGTGGTGTTGGTGAGTGGATATAGAGGCCCGGTGCTATCACATCGGAGAAGAGTCCGTTTTGTTGGACGATCCTTGATAGAAAAACCAAAAGGGTCAAATTCAATAGAGCAATCATTATCGGTCGTAAATTGTCGGACCGAGACCAAGTTTTTGATAATAGATGGGGTGACTAGAACGTTTTGAAGAGAGAGAGGTCGAGATAAGGAGGGGATGGTGGTATGTCCGGAGTTTTGGACCGGGAGTGATGAACCATCACCGACGGTGACAGAGTGTGTAATGCTCGAATTAAAAATAGTGTGGAGTTTACCTGGCTGGTTGGTGAGATGAGCTGTGGCGCCGGAGTCCATGTACCAAGCATTGTCGGTAGGATTTTGAAGTGTCATAGTATTGAATGCATGAGCCAAGGCAGTTGTGGGCTGATTTGTGCTGACATTTGGAGATGTAGCGTTCCACTGTTGTGATGGTGCACGAGCAAGTGATTGATGGTGTGGACTTGGTCCAAGAATACCAGGATTGTAGCTGGGAAAGGTCCATGGATTCGGCCAATGCGGTGGCCATTGAGGTTCGTTCCATGATGAAGAGGGATGATGATTGTTGTTGAATGAACGACGGCCTCGTGAATGACGACCGCGGCGACCACCAGATCGGCCATCACGATGATAGGGCTGTGATGAGTTAGACCATGACTGGGTTGTTGGTGAAGGCTAAGATGGTTGTGTGGTCGTGTATAAAGCCGTCGGAGCAGAAGAGTGGTCTGTATGAATGGGTTGATGTCTCGTGGTTTTGCTGACCCTCTGTTCCTCAAGAATGAGAATGGAACGTGCGTCTTCGAATGATGGGAATGGTGACTTATGCTTGATGACGTTGACTATGTTGTCGAACTTTTCATTCAAGCCATTGAGCATGTGCATAACGAGATTTCGATCGGAAACTTCCGCGTCGATGTTGGATAAGAGATCCGAAATTTTCTTCAATCTGTGACAGTATTCATGCACGGCTAAATCTCCAATGGTGAGGTTATGGAGGTCATTTTCGAGTTGGATGGCACGGGCCTCCTTGTTGTCACAGAATTGGTTCTCTAGTCTTGTCCACAGGGCATGGGCAGTACTTTTCTTCTTGAGTACGGTAGTGAGCAGCGATTTAGAAATCGTGCCATAGATCCACAGTTTCACTAAACCGTCAATCCGAGCCCAGTATGTGTCTTCTTCTCCGGTCGATTGAGTTGTGCCGTCCAGATGACCCATAAGGCCAAAGCTAAGGCAATGGGTTTCGAAGAGCTCTCTCCATGCATCATAATTATATTCATCCATGTCAAGGGTGAGTGGGATATGAGATTTGATATTATTCACTCCAAAGGGTTTTTCAGACTGGGTTGTGTTTGTTTCCATGGCGAAGAGGGTGGGAAGGAAAAAAAAACTGGAAGAAAGGATCAGATGAAGAAGAAGAAACAGACGCGGTGGTGTAGGTTTTAGGAAAAGAGAGGCTCTGATACCATGTAATTTGGTAAAATCCCCTTGATCTTTCCATTATCATTAGGTATACATATATACACATCAAAGCACTATGGTAATGAATACACATAAAGTAATATAGACATAATTGCGTAATATATGTTATGAATGCATAATATCTTCTATCAAATATCACATTTGACTAATTCGGATAAGAAAATGTCATTTTCCCTAAATATTTAGATCTTTATAATATGGAAGTCTTAGAGTATATAATTATAAATAACAAAAAAGTGGATATATATAAGATTATTATTTATAAAGATAAGTGATGAATAAAGGGCATGTAATGTAGATATTAAATAGTATAAAGTCTAGGTTTATATGTTAAGGTTTTGAGGGGGACAGACAATTCATTCGTACATGAACATGTGTGTTAAAAATTAGTACGGTTGGTGTGTACGTTGGCTTTTGGTCAAATGTTTACGTTGTCATAATGTGTATATATATATATATATTTTCATTTATTTTTTGCTTACAAGCAAAACTATTTGTGTGTTTTTTGTTTACATTAAAAAAAACTATTACAAAATACACAATCGTATACAAAATCATCCAATTTTTATTTAAACTACGATTCATATATATATATATATATATTTGATTTATTTATAAAAAATAAATTTTATCTCAATTTAATCAGATTTATTACGGTTCTAAAAAAGATTTTGTTCTGTCAAATATATTGATGAATCAAATATATGACTAATTAGATAAATTTGTATCTGATAGAAATAAGATACTTTTTTATATTTGGAGATGATTATATACATATATATATGTGTGTGTGTGTATAATATATATATAGAGAGAGAGAGAGACGTATCAGATTTAGCTATTAAAAAACCCTTTCTTATAAACAAAATAAATAAAGCCTTCCAAACGGTTACATTTTTACTTTAATAGGTATATCTATGCATATATTGTTTTAATAAATGAACCTACCGATTGAACTAATATTATAATTTTCTTATTATATATTTTATAGAGTTTTTATATAAAAGCTTCAAAACGACTAAATATCAAAAACTCTAGTCACCCAACTGAAACAGATTGCATTTCGACCGTTCCACGAGATCATATGCCACGAAATATTTGCATACGTATATCTACGCAATAATGGCAAATATACGTAATAAAGCGTTATAACAAAAAAGAGAGAATATTATAAAGTGTTCTAATAATGAGTATTACGTGGAGTTTCTTTTCACGCTTTTAAAATTATAAATTATTAAACTTACAAAGAGAGAGAGAGCCCCTTCTGTTCTCATTCAGGACAATGATGTCTCGAGGAAGAAAACTTTGAATTGGTAATCTTTTATTGAAGAGAGAGATGCCTTATCCTATATGTTTCAACGGATATTACTTTTTCTATGCATTTCATTTTTTTTTAATTAATTTTATATTTAAATTTTATGTTCATATTTCTGAAAATTTAAAAAGATAACAGTGCCAAACGGAATCGTAATAGACCAAAACAAATACATAAAAAAAAATCCGAAATTATATAGTTCAACCGATAAAACATGATATAAATGATCTGTTCCGTCCTAAATTTGAACATTAAGTTTTGGAAGAGAACGTATATCCTAAATCACCTATAAGGTTTCTGCCCCCGAGATTAATTTGAGGCTTGGCTGAAAATTAGATGATCACAGCAAAATAAAATGAATGGAAATAATGCGTAAATTATATAAATAAATATATATCTTAGCACCACTCTCCAATAGATAAATAAACTATAAAGCATTTTTATGAGACACGTTTTCTATTTGTGTATACATTTTCATCTTCGAAAAATACAAATCCACTTCATGTTTTGATATCTAATACCCTCTAATAATTTCGTTTTTAAAAGCGTATTTTATGATAATTTGAATTTTTTTGGTTCCTCTAATGGATTCTAGTTGTGAAGGATACAAAAGTAGAACATATTACAAAGCATATGTTGCCACATGACACATTAAACTCTATAGACTAATCCTAATAAGACACTAAAACTAATGCCATTAAGAATATAATTCCATAATACAACACTTTTCAATATAAACAGTTCCGATAATATACATACATTTAGAAAATCCTAAATATCATATTTCAAAGTCATTAAGCTAATATATAATGTGATTTATTTTTTTTATAAATATCATAAGAGTAGATTACCTCTTGGAGGTTTGTTTACATATGGTTAGACTTCAACATACTCATTACGGTTGAATATGAGAATTAGCGCAAAAAAAAAAACGATACATTAATTTTCTCGAAATTTTGGTAGGGGTGGGTGTTTCGGGTTTCGGTTCGGGAACGGTATTTTCAGTTATATAAAAAGTGTACCAAACTAGAATCAAATGTTAAACGATTCGGTTCGATTCGGTTCGGTTCAGAACGGTACCATTATATGAATACCAAATCAGTATCAAACTATAATATTTACACATATATTAGTGGAAGATTCGAATTTTGGTTCGGTATTCGTACAGTTCGGAAACGGTTCATTCGATTCCATAAATAGTGCACCAAATTAGAACCGAATGTTATTCGATTCACTCCGGTCCGATTTGGTTTCGGGTCGGAATAAATTCTCGAACCGAAGTGCCCATCTTTTTTAATTACATACTCATGTTTACTGTTTTATTTAAATTTAGTCTTTACTTTTTAAAGTTTTAAGGGTAATATTTCGATACTAAAGTAAATTGATTTTCCAAAATCTAGATAATAGAATTTAAATAATATATATCCACTAAAATTCAAGTTAATGGACTAAGTATCCAAAGAAAAAAAATCACTTGGTACCTTAATGAAGCATGTGGGCGTATATATGATTCATCTTAACAAAACATAAGAATCCTTGTATCCAAGCTTAAAATGTATGGACTTCTCCCCATTTATTGCAAGACTGTCGATATGTCATTGTCGTTGACCATTTCATTGATCTGTGTCCGCGATCCATCCTTATACCTTTATCCGTAGTTGTTTATTTCTATGTGAACATATGATTGATCGATCCTTGTAGGAATTTTCGTCGGTCGTTGTTCTTCTTCTGTTTTGTTCTTGATTTTCTAGTACGAAGAATTTTAATAAGTTAGGGAATATAAGAAAATTGAGAAATCCATTTATGAGATAAATATTGAAGTCAAAATCTGAATATGGTTATTCTCATAAATTTGTAGAAAGATATTAGAAAGGAAAAAAAACACACAACTTTTAATTTTATCAAATAAAAACTAAACTTTTTAAATATGTCAAGAAACAAGAACTATTTTATGATTGTAAAAATAAAAAATGAACTGATGTGGTATAAGGAGATGCAAACACGTCAAATTATTATCTTTGTTTTTTTACAATTGTATATAGTTCATATATTTTTTTGAATCATTTAAAAAATTTAGTATTTTTTTGATAAACTACATCAAAGTTTATGTATTTTTTTTAGATCACTTAAAAAGTTTAGAGTTTTTTTACACTCACTTAAAAAGTTAATGTTTATTTGACAAAAACAAAAACTCTGTAAAAAATGTAAAGTTCCCTAACAGAAATTATGAAGTTAATGTAATGTAAGAAATTAGAGGCTTCGGTCATTAGAGCATGTGGCTGGTTATGTTGCTGGTTTAGTTTGGTTTGTCATCTTCCGGTTATGGCCGATTAGTGTGTTTGTTTGTTCGTTGAGGGGTTTGTGTTGGCAAGACCTCACAATACTAGATCTTGACAAACAGTTTATTTCTTTCATGAAACCGTGGCATGGAAAATTGCCTGATTACGATGTGCATATGATTCATGACATTCATTTTTCATTTGATTTTAACCCTCTTCATTAAACAAAACAAAAGATCAGTCTTTATAGTTTCGAATGAAAAATATAAAACACCATCATGATTCAAACTATATTATTATACTGTCATTTTAATCAAATGATCATATTTAAAGAGTATAGATTGAAGTCAAGGCCGCATGGAATTTTGGCCTATATGCTTATTTGGGCCGTAAATAGGCCTATATTGGGTAGAAGCCCATAAACATCTATATTAAACTAGGGTTTCAGGTTGTTCCCACATCTCCTTTCTATATAAATTCACTCTGGAACCCAAACATCGATCTTAGCTGGATTAGGGTTTTATGGAGGAAATCTTCTGCCATTTCTCATAGGGTTTTGTCAGATTCGCGCGAAAGTGTCGAAATTTATTGACTGGTGTCGTGGTTTTGTTCTTCTCGGATCTTCCTTAGGGTTTGTTTCTTCCCCGTTTCCTACGGTTTTTATCAAATTGGGGGCGGTGACGAGCTGTTCGAGAGAAGTCATGCACCACTCTGATGGAGATCCGTATGGATCATGTGATGATAAATTTCTCTACCCATTTCTTATCCGAGCCTTCTCTCTCTCTCTCTCTCTCTCTCTCCGTTTTCTTTCATGGGTTTCGATTTTCCAAAAGTTTTCGTCTTTTGCTGTGTCATGTGATTTGATCTCTGGATCAATCTCCGAGTGAAAGGGAAACCAGATGATGGGTCGTAGTGACCAGACCATGATGCGGACTGTATAGCTCTAATGCTCTGATGACAACTTTTGGTTTCTGTTGGTTTCCCATTTCTCCCTCCGTACATATATATATATATGTGTGTGTATATGCGTATCTAGTTTTAAAACATGGATGAATTATGTCTCAATGTGAATTCTGGTGGGGTGGATGTTTATATTCAGGATACTTAGCGGAATCGATGTGATATATGATCGGTGATATGGAATCTGTGAATTTGATCCATTAAAGGATATAAGCTAACTTGTTATCTGCTTGTCTGAAATCATTGGAGAATGCAGCCAGCCCTGAGATTGATTTGGTCAACTGTTATTTTGAATCTGAGAAGAGCTGCCTTAAACTCTCAACAAGAACATGTCAGATCTGTCTGAACAAAACGAGGAAATGGGAGCTTGTGTATAATTTAGAACAGAGCAAGTAAAATCTCTTGCTTGTTCTGCAAGAAAGTAAAATCTCTTGCTTGTAGAAAGGAAAATCATTTCTACAGAAAGGGAATCATGTTAAAAACCGACAATCCCCAAATCAATTCAGAAAACAGAAACTAAAGAAAAACATAAGCCGTGTTAGACTGGTGATTTGATCAGAGGCTGTTCAGAAGATCTAGAGAAGCTGGAACACTCGATCACAGATTTGTTGTTACAAACCTTACCGTCATCATCAGCATCATCTTCTTGGTTCTGCTCTCTGATCTCTGCGAGCATGGCCGTGACGTCTCTCATGGAGGGTCGGTCGTTAGGGTTTGGATTGACGCATAGCAATGCCACTCCAAGAACTTGCTTCATCTCCTCCATCTCTGCTCCTGATGAGGATCTCATGAGTTGCTCGTCCAATATGCTCGTGATATCGCCTTTTCTGTCCCTTATAACGTTGTTTATCCATGCCACGATGTGCAGATTGTCTGGAATTCGGGAATCTATCGGTTGTTTTCCGGTTAGAATCTCTAGAATTACGACTCCAAAATTGTAGACGTCGCTCTTCTCCGTTATCCTGGTGCTGTATCCGTATTCTGTATAAGAACAAAGAATTTAAAGATCAAGATTCGGGTTTCAATTTGGATACCGGAAAATCTCGGGTGGCCGACTCGTGTGTTAGTCATCATTCTTTGCGTTTTGAACTTACCAGGAGCAATGTAACCTAAGGAACCCGCGATCACGTTTGAGGGTTTCGAGCTTTGTGATTCATCATCATCATCTACAAGCTTCGCAATTCCGAAATCTGCAAGGTAAGCTTCATTCCTCGGCCCGACCAAGATGTTGCCGGCCTTGACATCTCGGTGTATGATTGGAGGAACGCAGTCATGGTGAAGATACGCCAACCCATGAGCCGAGCCGAATGCGATACCGAACCGAACATCCCAATCCAGGAACACCTTCTTCTCATGGAGCAATTCCGCTAAGCTTCCATTGCTGACGTAATCAAATATCAGAAGCTTTGTTCTTCCTTTGCTGCAGTATCCGAGAAGTCTCACTATGTTTCTGTGCCTTATTGTTCCAAGAATGCTAACTTCTGCAGAAAACCAATCTGGGTTTTCTCTGTCGTAATCCGGCAAGAGCTTCTTGACAGCGATTACTTGTCTCGAAGACGTCTCGATACGGTAAACCACGCAAGAACCTCCTTTCCCGACGATATTGGAATCTGATAAGCCTGTAACTATATCGTTTATCGAAAAGCCGAGCTTCTGAAATGGCGTGAGTTCCCATTCCTCTCCGTTGCTGTTCCCAAACGCAGATCCTTGTAACCGGAACAACCAGTACAAGGAAACAGCTGTAACTGTAATGGCTAATGCTGCACTTAGAAGAGAATAGACGATGATGTTTCTTGTGTTCCTCTTCGTGCGGTTAGAAGGGCATCTCTTCGTGTTTTCACTGCTGCAGAGGTGGGAATTTCCGAGGAATGCGTCATCCGGGAGATGGTGGAAGAAGTTTGTGTCTGGAATCGAGCCGGAGAAGTCGTTGAATGAGACATTCAGAGAAACAAGATTGATAAGGTTGCTGAGAACAATCAATCTTCCGGTTAGCTTGTTTTGCGATAAATCCAAGCTGGCGAGCTTCGTGAAGCTGGAGAAACTGTTCGGGATAGGGCCGGCTAGCGAATTTCTGCTCAGGTTCAACAGAATCTCCAGTTCTTGGAGGCGGCCGAGTTCTTCTGGTATCGAACCATTCAATCTGTTGCTGCTCAGGTCCAGTAGCTGCAAATCCTTGCAGAATCCGAGTGTCCCTGGAATTAAACCAGAGATTTTGTTCCCGTTGATCATCAGTTTGTTCAAAGAGACTAACTTTCCGATACCCGATGGAATGTTACCTCCTATTCTGTTCATCGAAAGGTCTAAAACGTTGAGTTCTGTAAGAAACTGCAAAGATTCCGGGATTGCACCGATAAATTTGTTTCCGTGCAGATCAAGCATCTGCAGTTGAGTGCAGTTGCCGATATCTGACGGAATCTCCCCGGAAATTACGTTTTCGGATAGTTCTAGGAAAGTCAAGCTGCGTAATCCACCGATGGATGACGGTATATTGCCGCTTAAACGATTTGAGCTGAGACGGAGACGAGCAAGGCTTGTGCAGCTTCCGATATTAGCTGGAAGTTCACCAGAGAGCTGGTTCGATATCAGTAACAGCTGGCTCAAGTTCTTGAGACTGAAGAGAGAATCCGGGATCGAACCAGTGAGAGAATTGTGAGAGAGATCCAGAGACTGAAGCTTTGTGCAATAGGCGATCTCATTCGGTATGTTTCCTGTTAACCGGTCCTGCCAAGCGTAGAATAAAGTCAGCTCTTTTAAGTTCCCGATTGTTGCAGGAATCTCGCCTTCGAAGCCATTGTTGTCGAGTTCAAGTTGCTTCAAACTTGACAGGTTTCCGATGATGTCTGGAATTGTGCCGGAGAAGTTGTTTTGAGACAGAAGCAGCTCCTCTAGCTGAACTAAGTTGACTACAGAGAATGGCAAATCTCCAGAAAGAAAGTTCACCGAGAAGTCGATCACTTTCAAACCAGTGCAGTTTCCGATCGACCCCGGGATTCGGCCCTCTAGACTGTTCTCCCAAAGGAGCAACCTTTTCAGATTCTTCAGTGACCCGATTTCGATAGGAATCTGCCCAGAAAGCTGGTTTTCATACAGGAACAGATTCTCGAGCTTTGAGCAGTTTCCGATCTCTCGGGGAATATTTCCACTGAGATTGGCTGTGTATACTGCAAGCGTCTCGAGATTCTTGAGCTCTCCTAAGCTTTTAGGGATCTTCCCAGAGATTGCAGTATCAGAGAGACCAAGATACTGTAATTTTCTGCAGTTCGATATCTCATATGGTATCTCACCGGTCAGACCCGAGTTCCCGCCTGCCCGGAAAATCGCTAGAGAGCTCAGTTTCCCTATTTCCGATGGAATCTTCCCGGAGAATTGGTTGTCAAAAAGTTCAAGCCTTTGTAGGAATGCACAGTTACCGAGTTCCGGAGGAACCTTGCCACGCAAGAAATTGCTGTTCAGGGCTAGCGACTCGAGCTTCTTCAGCTTCCCGATTTCAGGAGGCACTTGCCCTGTCAGAGAGTTGAAACCAAGGTCCAAGAAAACAAGAGACTCCGACAAATTCCCTATCGAAACCGGAATCTCCCCGGTTAAGTTGGTGTCTGAAATGACAATACTTGTAATGTACGGAAACGAAGTAACTTCGTCTGGAAACCGAGTCGCAATGTGCACGGAAGTTATTCTGATTTCTTGAACAAACTCATCATCCGAACATCTGATATAAGCCCACCTGCAGGGATTTCGGTCTGACGGGTTCCAAGAAGAGAAGAAAGATGCAGAAGAAGAAGAGTTAAACGCCGAAAGCCACGAGAGAAGAGCGCGACCCTCTTCGTTGATTCCAGAAGCTTCTGGAAACAGAGAAACAGAGAGGATGATCACGAGAAAGACAGAGACTCGGTTTCTGGACATCATAGGAACTGGTTTTGGATTAGAAAACTTGGAGAAAATCTCATCAGTATCGGTTTTTTGGATCTGGGTTCAAAGTTTTTGAGCTGGGTTTTGGAGAATTTTCGCAACATTGAGCAGAGAATGTGGAAGTCTCGAAGAGTCTCAGCCACTTTTTATTTTGGTTTTCAGACAAGAAGTGGTTTGACAGCTCCAGAAGCAGATTGAGACAGGAGCAGGACAAGGAGGGACAGCTCAGGTTATGGTTTCTTATGCCAAAAAAGGTTGCTTAACACGTTCACTCCAAAAATTAATAATAATAATAAAATAAAAATCACTTTGATTTTTACTGATTGAGGCATAAAACTTGTAAATGTACATCCGGTTAACGAATAAGATTTCTTTTAAGCAGTACCGGACCGGTATTAGTCGGTTTTGGTTTCCTTCATACGAGCTGCAATCCAATTACATGCGGACAAGATTTGAACTATTTGTAGTAGGGGTGGACTTTTAACCGGTAACCCGGGGGTTTGGAGGTACCCGCTTTAACAAGTATCCGAATATTAACGATGATGAGATCGAGTATTAATAAGACTAAGTTTTCGACCCCCGAGTCCGAGTGGGGGTTCAATTATTTTACAAAGTATACCCAGGGGTATCCGGTATATTTGTTAAAAAACTAAAATATACTTTATATCTATAATATTTTTGTCTAAATTATTCTTATTATTTATTAAAATACTTTTATTTTAGTTCATTTTTTTGTATGTTCTAAACCTTTCTATACAAAAATTTCATCATTCCAAATCTCATTCTATGTAATCGAATCAACCATTCATCTATCTCTCAAAATTTTACTCATTTCCCTTCATCGTGAACCTTTCTCTTTATACTTTGACCTCTCTCATTTGTATTTTCTATATCTATCATTTTATAGTTCAAAATTTTATAAATCGTATGGGTCCGGGTACCCGTGAGTACAAGACCGAGAATCTCATTAAACCCAAGTTACAAGTACCCGAATTTTATGAAGCCAAGACTGAGATAATATTTTTGTAAAACCCGTGGTAATGAAGACGAAACAGAGTTTTCTAAAAATTAGGGGTACCCGACCCGTGCCCACCCCTAATTTGTAGGTAAATGAAAATTTCTTAACATATGTTTAATGCACTCTTTATATTTTAGGTCTACAAATTTTATATCCTAAATCTGCATATTTCTTTTCTTTTTTTCCCCTAAAACACCTAGAAATCTCGAATTCAATGTACAAAAAATAAATCTTCCAACGTTTAAAAAATAGATTTGTTCTCAAAATAGTATATAAGTACATAATTCTAATATACAACTTCGGTACTATAATGTAAAAAAATATTTAGAATATAATATTATACAATATTTGAAAATTTTATGGATTATGTATATCTTGTTCAAAACTATTTTTGGTGTTAAATGAGTGACCACATGGTTATGTTTATATTTTGGCCAAGAAAATAACAAACGAGTAAAGAATATCCATTGGAAATTGAAAAGGTAGCAACTTTCCAAATGCTCTCAAACAAAAGGCCCTGTGATTTAGGTTGGGGAAAGATATGAGTTATGAAAGTGACAAAGCAACATAAAGAAAATGCACTAACGCCACTCCTTTTTACAATTATTATTATTATTATTATTATAAATAATACATTATTATTATTTTATTTATTTATTTCTGTTTATTGTTATACATTAAAAGGTAAAGCCTTAAAACAGGAGATTATGCTTTTGCTCTAAAGTTCAATCATATTCACATGAACATTGAGCCATCTCCTTGCCCATGTCATTGCCAATGCATGAACCTTCCCCCACTAAGATTTCATGGAATTTTTTTATTTATAAATATATGTATATTAATGGGGTTTTATTTTTTGACAAAAATATTCTTTCAAATTGTATAATCTTTGAATGAATTGTTCTATATTAATAAGTCTGACCACATCAGTAAAAACGTACATATCTATCACATAAGAGTCAGATTGTATATATTTTCAGAATATAAATTCTATAATCTCTCCATCATAACATATATACTTAGGCTCAAATAATGCAGTGTTTTTATATGGTTTCAATCAAAATAATGACAATGTGTATGGACATTGAACATACATATTAACATTCTAAAGAAACATATGGGGCATGATTGGATTATAAGATATCAAATCATTTGTACTTATTGAGTGTCTAATCACATTGCTTATCATCAAAGATATGAGAGAAAGGGACATTTGTGGTTGCCCTAACCATTGTTGTTGACTCCCCCATGTGGCCCTCCCCACAACACAACACTTGCAAATGTGTTTCATGTTATGTAGTATCTAAACCCTAATCCAAATAAAAGAAAAACAAGAAGAAAAGGACATATATATATATATTGTGGATCTACTACTTATTCATATGTTTTGTAGAAAAAGAAAAAAAAAACATGTTATTTATAACCTTTCACAAAATGAAGACATTTCATTAACTTATTCATCTATGTACATGGTTTATGACTCAATGTAAAAGCTAGTGCATTTTATGATTCAAAATCATATCCTACTTTTTGGATATTCTTCGTGCTTGAGTGACTAGTGATTTATATGACTAATCAACTAAAATCTGTTTGTCCAAATTTTTTTAAAAAACATTAAATAAAAGCTAAATTAAAACAAAAAACTAAATTCAAAAATTCAAAATAAAAACTTTGTCCATTCAACACCTAAATTTTTTCGATAAAACCTATGAATAAAAAAATATATAACTGATTTTGGGCCACTACATTTTTTACAATAAATCAACCATAGACAGGATCTTGGTCGTGGCCCATATTCTATAATCTGTGATTACGAGACGGTGTGAAGTGTGAACAGCAAATAGGACTGAAAAGTAAATTGTTAGATAAGGGTGGCCAAAATATTCAAATAATAGAAGATAGTGGGTCACAATTGAAAATAAATAATAATTCGTCGAAATGTCATTTTAGCTTAGTCGCTATTAGCATGCTCTCGTTCGACACAAAACTGAAGTCTAAACTACCATTCTACCCATAATATAAAGTTTAAGAACACAGTAAATACATTCATTCGTAAGGGTATATGTGAACTTTCGCTCATCTGCCCCCTCATCCCATCGAAAAACTCGTAGCCTCATCGTCTTCTTCGAAGCTCTCGCTCTCTGTGCGTCTCTCTGGAGATCGTTGGGTTCGAATTCTGAATTTAGGGTTCCATCAAAATGTCTGGGAAAGGAGCGAAGGGGTTGATTATGGGGAAATCCCCGGCGGGAAGCAAGGATAAAGATAAGGACAAGAAGAAACCCATCTCTCGCTCCTCACGCGCCGGTCTCCAGGTTCTCTCACTCTCTGTCGTTGATCTTCGTCTTGTATATGTCCATGCGGTTTGAGATTCGTTATATATTGATGGAATTATGGATTGATTGACTTCCTGTTGTCTTGAATGCCGTCTTGGCATATCCCTGTGTGAATGATCTCTCTGATCTGATCGAGCGATTTCCGGTGGATCTGTGGAAAAGCCAAAACCCTAGACTGTTGAATGCTTGAAATTTTGAATATCTTCGATGATATCGTGACTGGGTTTGTCTCTTTCCACTCTAAATTCCTGAAGTCTTGTTTGTCACGCTTTCTTCGTCTCCGTCCATGAAAACGTGTGTGTAAACGTTAGTGTTCTTGTCACGTTTCGACCCATCCCGAGTTATACACATTGGTCATACACTGCATATAATTTCAGTGGCATTGATATCAAAGAAGGGTAGCTTTAGAGTTACGGAATCAAATTTGTGGTTCTCTCAGTGGCCCCTGATGTTAGAAACCGGCACGAAAGTGGGGTCGTAAACTTCTGAGTTGGAAATTTTGCGGGGAATTACCCAGTTGCATACATTTTACAGCCAGGATTCGAAAAAGGGATTGTTTTCTTCTGTGATCTGCACGAATTTAGTTATGATGATGCTGGAGTTAAGAAACGTTGGTCACACAACTGTTGAAGAGGCAATCACAATGACTGTATCACGGTGTGACCGTTGATTCTGTAGATCTTCGACAGTGATGTATTCAAGGCATCAAGGTTTTCTGGTTCTCGTATGTATCAATACCAATGTGGTTGGAGGGTACTAAGCTTCTATTAGATTTGAGTTGATTGATTGATAAGGTAGATGATATAGTTTCTCGGCCATGAGTCATTTCATCAGAGAATGACCATTCGATACATATTTTAACCCTCTTTTTTGTTTGCAGTTCCCAGTGGGCCGTGTTCATCGTCTGCTTAAAACAAGGGTCAGTGCCAATGGAAGGGTAGGGGCTACAGCGGCAGTGTACACGGCCGCAATACTCGAGTACTTAACGGCTGAAGTTCTAGAGTTGGCCGGGAACGCAAGCAAGGATCTGAAGGTGAAACGAATAACCCCACGGCACCTGCAACTGGCCATCCGTGGGGACGAAGAACTCGACACTCTCATCAAAGGAACCATTGCTGGTGGCGGCGTGATCCCTCACATCCACAAGTCTCTCATCAACAAATCCTCCAAAGAGTGATTAGATTTCTCTGTAATATCCTCCATGAATCTCTCCCTCTCTTGTTAACCTGTGTGATCTCCGGAAGAATAGCTGGTTCCTTGCTACTTCATTTGGTAACCCCTCGTTGTGATTATAATCTAAAGAACTAATGTTCCTTTTCTATGGTAGTCAATGTTTTCAACATATAAAGCTAGTAGAGGGAGAAAGACAGTGCTGACCTAACTGACAAGAACATGGTATTTGAAAAGTTGTCATCTTTGCATTGACGATTAGGGGTGATTTATTTAGTTGATAAGCGAAGTGATCTGAACCGAATAACGCATAACCATAACCGAATGGTTATAATTTTTCTAAAATTGCACCGAATCGATTAAAAAATAAAAAAAACCCGTAAATTTCTATAAAAAAATGAATATTTTATCATAATTGAATAGCACTTGAATCGACTATAACCGAATCGAACCGAATCCAAATTCAATGCAAAAACTGAATGGTTATAGTTTTTCTTAAACCGAAATAACTAAACTCGAATATAATCGAATCGAAACTCGATTAATCCAACCCTGTTGATATTAGCATAGATTCCACTTTCCATGATAAATATTGGTCCATAGGTTTTAAATTTTTTTGTCAAATCGTTAAATAAATTCATTTTTATATATTTTTCTACAAGTTTTTAAATATTTGAAAAGTATTTTGCAATTTCTCCAAATAAAAAACCTTTTAAATTTTTTTTTTACCTCTACAGACTAGACTACACCCACAAAAGAGAAAAACAAATTAGAAGAAACGAGATTTAATTTTCCTTATCTTTAATTCACGTTATTTTCCAAAAAGAATATCATAAAATGGCTAACATCATCCTTCCCTCTGAAAAAGCTGGAGAAATATACAGAATGGATGATACACAAAACTTCCTCACAATACAAACAAAGAACAAACGAATATTTCCAAAACAACCCCACATATTTTCATCCATCAAAATAAAACCCTCCAAAAACCTAATCGACCCCACTCACCCAAATTGTGATCTAGGAGTCATCCAAGACCAAGACCCATCCTCCACACTTGGACTCACATCTCCCCGGCCACGGCCTCCGTCCTCCTCCAAGACAGCCGAGCCGATGCTAACCACCGGCCGCTTCCTCGGCCGAACCGGCGGG